ATCAGCTGTAGTTTCTTCAAACTTTTCTCCCAGGTTACAGGAGAATTGTGTTGTTTTCAAGGTGCTTTCGGTTTTCACGGTGAGGGCTTTGCCATCAGAAGTGATGATACAATCTGGCTTGGCCATTGCGCCCATTTTCCGCAGAGCCATTCCCACTCCTGTTGAACATTATGACATGATAAATACCAAGACCAAACATAACCTATATAATAAAAGCAGCTATGCAATTATTATACATAGCATCATTTCACTTATTCACTTTAGCAGAACTTCTATAAACATGTATCCAGGGCTCCTTGTATGCCAGCATTTTACAAGTATTTCTTCCTGTAAACCTAGCAATGATTCTATAAAGTAGGGACCATTTCCATTTTCCCCAGTAAACTGATGAGGTTGCAGTAACTTATCCAAGCTCATTCAGTTAGGAAGTGGTGGAAATAGGAAGATAACAGTGCAGTTCCCCAACTCCAACCTATAGTTCTTTATCTCCATACTATACTAAGTTAGTGGGCAAATGCAGATTCTAAAAGGTATTGACTCACAGCAGCTGAGAGAGCTGGAGATAAAGCATTCACAATTGTAAACTCAGGGGCTTCCCTACTCTACTGTAAAAGAGTTTCTTACAGTGGATTCGGCCAACCATTGCATACAGCAACTTTAGCACATAACTTGCCGCAAAAAAGTCCTGGAGAAATACTTGGCTAATAGCCATATAACATAGAAATCAATGCTCTTTGAAGAATATGCTCAATAATGTTAAAACAAATAAAATATATTCAAGTAGCACAATGTTTCAAGAGGTACAAAGGTGGTGGTAATAAATGAAGAAAGCAACCAATTTTACCACCAAAATTAGAAAATATTTCATGGCTTTCTAACTGAAGCACCACGTTTATAAAATATTTCATTTATAACTTGTATAATTCCTCCTAGTGGTAACACTCAAAGAATCTTGGAAGTAGACCAAGACGTGAGTAGAATAACTGGGTTTAAAAGTAATCACTCAGTCAGGGTCCAAACGGCATTCTCTTTGGCTAGCTCAGAGTTGGAGCCTGTGCTGCCAGCTGAGTCATTATTTACTCTCACTTTGGACAAACAGGATCCCTGGTAGGTAGTGGGTTATGTGTTGGACTGTGATCTCAAAGATCAGTGGTTTGAAACTATCTGCTGTTACATGGGAGAAAAATGGACAGTATCCTTCCAGAAACTGATGGAGAGTTGCTAAGGGACTCACAGACCATGGTTTTGGTTTTCTTTTGGACAAATAGACCCCAGTTCTCCTCACATCTCAATCAACAGAGGCTTGGCTACCTCCATGGCTCTAGAATCCAAGGGGGAGGGGGGAATTGCCTCATCCAAAACACATTTACCTACAATGGCCAGAGAAGAATGTTCTCTAATTAGACCTCACAGCTATACATATACAGTAATGTGTTTCTTAGACATTAATATGATGAAGGTATTTTTTCCCCCTCTAGAAGTAGCCACCAGCTGGAGCTCTGGGGGCCTGATGCACTGCAATCTCAAAGGCACATAGTTCTAATCCACCAGATGGGCAATCTCCTCCTGTGTGACTGACTGCCTCTGAAAACCCACTGGAGGGTCAGCTATGGGGTCATTTCCTATTGAACAGTACACAGCAACAGCCTGATCTATGTTTACAATGAAACCAAAGCAACTGCTTTCTTGTTTTGACAATAGTATGCTGTGTCCAAGGAAGCTACGGTGGCCTAGTGGCAAGAGGCTGTGCTGCAATCCTGAAGGCGTGTGGTTTGAATCCACCAGCTGCTCCCAGGGAGGATGGGGCAATCTCCTCCCCTATGATTGATTAACTGTCTGAAAACCCGCCCGAGGGTCAACTATGAGACGGTTCAAACTCAACTGGTACACAAAAACATGCTAAGTACACGGAATTAGCTTCAATATTGCCCTGTCTTGGATAAAGGACTGATTTATGGTACATCAGGACCCATATTTTCTAATACAGAGTCCTTGTAGCGAGTTAGTGTAGATACAGACTTCTAGACGCACCACAGGGCCTCAGAAGTCCAGGGCTGAAGACCACTTCTAGATGGATCTATTCTACTTCATCCCACTTCCTGCTGGTCGGTGACAAAGGTTTATTATTTCTTTGCCATCTACCCACCATCTCAATTAACACAAATTTGTTTTGTCACTGGCTTAGGAAAGGTTTCAAACTAAATCCACCACTGTGGGGCTGGTTAAGACTCATCAATTTCAGAGGCTGTAAATCTTAATGCAGACTAAAGGGCCTCATCTTTCTACAGTGAATTCAAACTACCGACCTTTCTATTTCTAGTCAGCTAGTCAAAAGCAAATAGCAGTTGCACTGCAGAAAACCTAATGCTATCATGAATTAACGAATGAATTTTCATTTTCCTACAGTTTCTCCCTGTAAGGCTAAATAGTGAGAAATGCTTCAGGTAGTGTCACTTAGTGGTGGTATACACAACGATCTTACAGCTTAATTTAAATTTCAAAAGGCTCTCAGTTTTCCAAGAAAGCACGCTGCTTCTGATAGTGCCTTCCAAGGTCAATTTGCAGGGTTCACGGCAACAGAGACCACTCCCTCCTAGGTGCAAGGAACCTTACTGCGCATGCCCCGCAGCCACCAGGCCCTGGCAGGATCCCCACGTTACGATAAGCCAAGGAGCCCAGCTTTCTGTGCCACGCTTCCCCGGGCACTCCCAGGCCAGGAGGAGGATGCACCGGCTCTCCACGTGGAGCGGTGCCAAGCCCAAGACCTGGCTCACAGGGTGAGCAAGACCAGGGTACCTTGGAGAAGGCGCTGACGCTACAGTCTTGTTTGGACCTTCAACAGGGCTTCTGTGGGAAACCACGGACCCTCCAGGGAATCCTGGCACCATGTCCCCATGGAGAAGAGGGAGGGAGCCGGCTCACCATCAAAGAACAAAAGATGCGACTATTTGGGGGCTGGAAGGGACAGAGCGAGTTTGGGGGCTGGAAGGGACAGAGCGAGTGGGCACTCCAGTATGCGGAGTGGGAGATAGCTGATGGTGGCGGAGGGGATGATTACAGGGTATAGGGAGGATGGAGAGTAAAAAAGCGGGGTGGGGGGGGGAGGGAAAGTTGAAAGAGCTGTCTGGTTATAAGATATGCGGCTTGGGATGAATGGAGGAGCGCTAAAGGGCAGGATGCAGTAGGGAAGGCTGCCTGTGCAGGGCAGGGGTAAAGGAGGAAGGGGGTAAAAGAGCTAAGGGGACCACGAGGCGGTACATTCCCGAGGTCCTCGGCGCGCAGAAGGCGCGCGCGGCCGCTGCCAGGGCTGCATCCACGCCGGGTGCAGAGCAGGCTCAGCTGGGGCCGCGTGGTAGTGGCAGGGCGAGGAAGGTGGTCACGGAGTGACCAGAGTAACCGCGCAGGCTGACAGATGGACACACACATGCCACGTTGCCGGCGCCACCGGGCCGGGGGCCTCACCCAGTTCCTTCATGTACTCGTCAAAGCCTTTGCTGTCTACCAGGCGCCATCTTCCTACCAGCTGCTGAACGGTGGCCATGGTGGGTGCTGAGTGGAGGGTGTGCAGAGGAGGCAGACGAGGGCTGGGCGAGGCGGGAGAGCGCAGCGTGTGGATGTGCCGCGCCGCCGCCGCTTTATGAAGACCGCGCGAGCCGGGCGATGCAGGGCGGCCAATGGGAAGCGCGCCTCGCCCGGCCCCCGCCCCGCCCTCGGCGCGCCCCCGGACCGCCCGCCGGAGCCTCGAGGCGCGAACCTGCTCCACCTGACCGCGGACCCGCGGCTCCTGGCGCGCCACCTGCAAGCGGGGACTCGCCCGGCGTGGCCCACGCCTCTCCGGACGCCGGTCCCTGCACGTTCGGGCGCTTCCTCACGCCCAAGAAGCTAAAGGGGGCGCCCGGGAGGTCAGATCCCTCCTCTCCCTTTTTTAACTTAAGCCCTCTTTGCTGTTTTACCTCCAAACTGCCAAAGAATTTCTTATCCCTCACCTAGCTTGGCACAGGGACCAATTGATTGGTTGATTGATTGATAAACTACCTTGCCTCCCTAATCGCTCCCTGGTGTCACTGGACAAACCAGAAAGGCTAAAGAGAAATCGCACACCCTCCTGACAGATCCTGTTGTCACCCACTTTCAGGCCACTCTAGACTGTGACCAATCTCTTGAGTACCTCCTGGTGGGTGTAAAAGTGACTTTATCAGTAGGCACAGGGTGGAGTGCCTTGTCTCCAGAAGTTCTGTTTCCGAAGCTAAAAATTCGGTAGGAGGTTTCATCTTAAGTGATTGGCATTAATCTTAAAGGTCAGAATGTTTTATTATTTCATGCTCCCATGAGAATGATCCTTTACAATCCCTTCCCATCCTTTTTAATATCAAACACCAGTGTGTTTATCATCATAATACCCTATATTGGTGTGTAGAACATTGTCATTTTCAAATTACACTTTTCTTAATATCTGGCTCAAAGCTCTCATGTCCCTGCAGAAGATGGAGTGAGGTGAGGAAGGTGTCACCCAAAGAGGAGAATATTTTGGTGGAGATAATGCCCATTTAATAGTGCTTAATCTTGCTCTTCTCTTCCTCTTCAGAGTGCTAAAGAGCAATGATGTCAGTTTAGAGACTAAGGTGTGCCTGCTTGGGTATGATTCATAGCGACCCTATGGATAATAAATGTGAACCCTGCCTTATCCTGTGCCATCCTCATCATCTCTGACATATTTAACTTCAATACCGCAGTCACTGTGTCAATCTTCTATTCTTCTATTCTTTGACCCTCCACCTTTCCAAGAATAACGTCCTTCTCCAAGGAATAACCCCTCCTAGCAACATGCCTGAAGTGTGTGAGACGAAATTTTATCATCTTTACTTCCAAGGAACACTCTGACTGTACTTTCCATTAACTCTAATCTCATCTAAACTTTGGTAGAATATCATTCCAATTTTCCAGAAAGAAAATAACAGGAAAGGTCACACAGTTCAGAACGAGAAACTCCATCGGGTTCATGTCTGTAAAGATCTCTGCAAACGCACCACACCTGGCTGTCTCTATTTCACGGCACTGGACAGAGCTGAGTGGAGGTCACAGGACCCTAAGCCATTCCAGACACACGGTCCTGTGTTACCTCAGCAAATATGGTTGTTTTTCATCCCCCAGCATGGTTCAGAGCGTTTCCTACCCTGAAATACATCACTTTCTTTCAAGTCCTGCCCCTAATTTTAGGATCCCCCCCAAGTCTACCTGGGGGCACCATTTTAACACTGAATGACTCAGGCTGTAACATTTTGCCATTTAGTGCCTGAATGCTACATATCTGAGACTATTGTTGTTGTTGTTGTGTGCCATCGAGTCACTTGCGACTCATAGCAATCCTATGTACAATAGCCCTGAACTCTGCTCTATCTTGAGCCAATTTCATTGTCTCTTACACACCTACCCCCATTACCCCAGTCACTGGGTCAATCTGTCTCATCCAAGGTCTTCTTCTCCTGTGCTGTTCCTCCACCCTTCCAAGCGTGAGGTTCCTCTCCAAGGACTGGTCCCTCCTTGCAACATACCCAAAGAATGTCAGAGCTTCAAAACCCTTGCCTCTGAGGAACAGCCTAATTTCACCCTCTCCAGGACAGAGCTGTTTGCTCTTAGCAGTCCATAGTATATTCAATACATTACAGAAATGTCAAAAGACATGTCACTGTGCTAGACACTTTGGCACTTAAGAAGTAGCTTTTAGGTACCTAAGAGGGTACCTAAAATTTAACTTTTAAATACATTCTTAGATATGATGAGTGAAAACAATAATTTTATGGTTAAGACACACTAACAAAGAAATCAGTAAAATATAGGCCAAAATACCTATTATGGTCCAGCAGAAACCAAGTAAAGGGTTTGGTGATGACTCCTGTGGGTGGCCTATCCCCTTAGTCTATAGAGCTTCATGCTCAAGAGAATTCAAGGAATAAAAAGAAATAATGGATTAGAGTAGCTTATTTCTAATATTTTTTAGACCTTACCATTCAAATTTCCTTCCTTTCTAAAGACTAATGATAATGGGCTTTATCCATATATACTTTTCCTTCTATTTTAACAATAATGTTCTTATGCAATATTGGTGAATGGGAGGTGAGGGACAGGGTAGGTGAAGGAATTGGGAAATATCCAATGGGACCTGAAAAGATGGAGTAATAGTAGTCATAGATCAATGGTGATTAGTTTTCTAAAACATGGTGTATGTGAAATGGCAGTGTACATTAGTGATATACAATGTATACAAATTTTGCATGTAAAACCAATATAAAATAAAATAGAAAAAGAAAATAAGTGACTCCACACATTTTTTAAAATAAACAACAATCATGTAAATGGATTCCAAGCACAGAAAGACTTTAACTGCTCCCATTACAGCCTGGAAATGTAATGAAGGGTCAGCTATGAGTTGATTTTGACTCCACAGCTGATAGTTATCATCACTATGTGCTGAAGAACTATTAAGGTTACATGTGAGTATGGCTGGCCCATGATTTTCAGTCACTTGATAGTTAAGATGTAGTCATACCTCTCAAAAACATCATACAATCACAGCCATGATAAGATCTTTTATGAACAACCAATCAACAGCAAGGGAGTTTCCTTGGAGTCATGGCCTGCTTTCCATTTATAGGAACATTCTGACAAAGTTCTATCTTAATTCTCCAACTGGCTTGTCATCCTCTGATCTATGATTTTTGGGAGATGTGTCAGCATCTGACATCTTGCTTGCTGATGTTGGGATCTGTCAGCTTCCACAGCCCATAAGCCTATTGTCTGAATTGCTCATGAAGGGGTTTGTCAACCCCTTCAGCTTTGAGAATCTGGGAACCTCCAGCCTTTAATATGACCACAGCTCTCAGATTTTTCCAGGCTGCATAATGCTGTTGTTAGGTGCCATTAAGTCAATTGCAACTCATAGTAACCCTATGAAAAACCAATGTGAGCCCTGCCCATCCTTCACCATCCTCATGATTTTGGTCATACATGGCGTTAGCCCATGTTGGTCATCATTGTGTCGACTTATCTTGTTAAAGGTCTTCCTTTCTTTCTCTGACCGCTACACCTTTCCAAGCATGTTACTTTGCTCCAAGTATTGATTCCTCTTGATAATATGCCCAAAGGAAGTGAGATGCAGGTTCACTACCCTTGCCTTGAAGCAATGCTCTGATTGTACTTCCTTCATGACAGGTTTGTTTGTTCTGGAACTTAATGGTATAGTCAGTACTCTTTGCAAACACTAGAATTCAAAAACATTAATTCTTCTTCATGCATCTTTATTCATTGTTCAATTTTCAGATGCATGGGTAGGGAAGTAGAAAACAGTATGGCTTGGATTTGGTGCACCTTAGTCTTTAAACTGCTCTTTAAGACTTTGGATAGGTCCTTAACAGCAGATTATCCCAGTGCAACCCATCTTTTTATTTTTTTTAACTCCTGGTAATGTGCGTGTGGATCGTAGATTCAAGTAATATGAAAGATTTGACAACTTCAGTCTTTTCTCTGTGCTTCCTACTGGCCCAGAGGTGAGGAGTGTGTGTGTGTGTGTGTGTGTGTGTGTGTGTGTGTTGAGTTGCAATCCATATAGAAGACTGTAGTTTTGATCTTCGGCAGTAAGTGCCTCAAGTTTTGTTTTGGTTTTTTTTTCACCTCCTGCAAGTACAATAACAAGTCTTCACTTCTGCTATATAATAGCATGAGCTATTTATTAAGATAAATCTGTGTATATAGAAATACAGGTTTTGGTGGTTTTATTTCTCTAGATAATTGAGTCCAAGAAAGCTGACTTGCTAGAACCCACAACCCTCCCGCTCACTACCCTTGAGTCAAACTCATAGTAGCTTTATAGGACAGAGTGGAACTGTCTCACATGCTTTCCCAGGCTGTAAATCTTTATAGACTTGACTTCTACATTTTACAGTCAGAAAGCAGTTGGTTGGTTTGAACTGCCAACCTGCTGGTTAACAGCTAAACACTTAAGTACTATGTCACCTGACCTCCTCTTGAACCCAGTTGAGGTGTAAAAGCAAATAAAAACTTTTAAAACAAATCTGATGTGGATGACTTTATAAAGTTGTGGAGTATTTCTTTACTGAAAAAAGGGAGGAGAATGATTAATGATTGCTATTAATTACCTTACAAAAAAGGGACAGTAGCAAGGGACATATTTTTGCAGACAATAGTATGGTGTTGGTTATTCTTTTTCATAGCAGCACAGGGAAATACAGGTGCCACAATATGTCTCTTTGCTGGAAAATAATAGCACTTGCATTATTCTTATGGATGCAAATGACTGAGGTGTCAAGAGTTACTGGCAGCTCTCCCACAAGAAGCTTAGAAAGCTAGCATTTGTAAACTACAATTTCACTTAATTTTTCTGAGCTTTGGTGGAATTAAGGAAATACTCTTGTAGTATGCATAGGTCCAAAAAACTAACTCAAATTACTCTATTTCCACCTAGTGGTGAAATGTAATATTTATCTTGGGCTTTATTTGATAAACGTTAATAGTTTCACTATTTCA